CTAGTTGCCGGAACGTCCGTATCTCTCAAGGCCACAGGTGGTTGCTGGCGGGTAGTAGCTTGGGTGATCTCATGGCTTTATCCATGAGAAGCAGTATGTTATGATTAAGTAGGAGCATTGCTTCCCAGACTCAATGGCGCGCGCGGGAAGTCCCGCAATTGGGCCTCAGTTTTTTGAATTCACTATAATCTATTGGGATCCATGCTTATGCCTCATTCTGAACAATGATCCTGTTATACACCTATTGCTTCAAATAAAAGTAAAACCTTTCTACAAGTGTGTGCTTCGTTGATGCGATGGGAGTCTGACAGCCACCCAGAAGTGGCATGAATGCATTGCCAGGGGGACCCAAACTGGTTCAGTTTGGGTAGGGTTTTTGGCTCGGGGGTTCGGTTTGGGGCTGCCCGGTTCATGAGCCCCAAACTGAACTGGGCTTTCCCAGTCTGTGCCCATCCCTAGTTCTATTTATTTTATTTATTTATTGTTACGTTTATATCTCGCCCTCCCCGCCATGGCAGGCTCAGGGCGGCTAACAAACATAGCTATAGATGTATACATTAAAACTCCAGATATACTAAAAACAGAATTAAGTTAAGATCACAATATAAAACCATAACTACTCAGCACATGACTGTAATGGGATATGGCAAGGTTCTCTCAACATTTGAATGGTCGCCTACACCATAGTCCAGGGTCCAGGCTCCTGCCAGGCTGTTAATCGTCAGGCTGGGGGTGATGCTGGTGCTAAGGCGTTAGGGCCATGATGTTCCCCCTAATTGAAAGCCTGGTGGAAGAGCTCCGTTTTACAGCTTTCCAAAGACCACTGGACACAAGGAAGACCATTTACATATATAGTTCTTCAGATTCTGTTGGGGGACAACAAAATCTGTGTTTATTATTCTGCTTGCAGGAGACCTGAGCAATAGTTATTAAAGGCAAATAGCACAGCTTGATTAAAAACAGTCTTAGATTTGATGTTGTTGAAAGGATGTTTGCTCATAATGACATCATTGGAACACTTTCTGTTGTTTAGCTGACTTGAAGAATTTACAGGTTGTATGCAGAAAATTGAAAACTTTCAAGAACATTAATTCTTTTAAAAATGGGAATAGCAATGAGAAGCAGCATGACAGAGAATTAATGGCTGAATCCTGGAGAAAGACACACATTAGGCAAAGAAGGAAATGGATGTTTGTCATTTGCTAGGTATTATCAGAATCAATTATTTGTCTTACATGGCTTAGCTACATGGTATTGCATCACAAACTGGAATCTTTAATTCTTGGATTGTTTGTTATCTGAGTTCCCCATAACGTTTAAAGAGAGAAGAATTTGATTTTTCAATACTCGTGATAAAAAGAACTATTAATTAGCCAATGCCCAAGAAGAAAGTAGCCGGATTAATGCGTGACCACAGCCTTCACTCAGCTACACCATGTCTAGTGATAATGACCTTGAGCCAATTTGGTGTAGTGGTTAGGGGTGCAGACTCTAATCTGGGAGAACTGGGGTTGATTCCCCACAGAAAATGTTCCCTCCAAACCAGATGCCAACCCTAGTCATACATGTTTATTTCACATGGTAGTGTTCCGAGATTTTAAGAAAGATAGTCATTGATCCTCAGATGTCTCCTTACATGTAGTTTGACCTTCCAAATAATCTTAAGAGATGTTATGTTAGTTAAAAGGCATTACATTCTGAATTTTACATTGTCAGAGTGAAATAGATTATTTTATTCCCAGTACTTTGCAATTAAAACTCTGGTCAGAGTTATCACAATAATTTTAAACTACTGTTTTTAAATAGCTGGTCCCAAATTCCTCCTTACTAGTGAATCCCCGCTCCCCTTTTCCTTTAAACTATGGCAGGTCCTTAAAGAGATGGGAGTACCAGACCACCTCACATGTCTCTTGAGAAACCTGTATAAGGGTCAAGAAGCAACAGTTAGAACCGGATATGGAACAACTAATTGGTTTAGCATAGGAAAAGGAGTACGACAAGGATGTATATTGTCACCTTGCTTATTTAATATATATGCAGAGTACATCATGCGAAATGCTGGTCTGGATGAATCAGAAGCAGGAATTAAGATTGCTGGGGAAAAGATCAACAACCTCAGATATGCAGACGATACCACTCTAATGGCAGAAAGTGACCTAACAAGCCTCTTGCTCAGGGTAAAAGAGGAGAGCGCAAAAGTGGGCTTGAAGCTCAACACCAAAAAAACTAAGATCATGGCATCCGGCCTCATCACTCCTTGGCAAATAGAAGGAGAAGTCGTGGAAGGAGTGACAGACTTCACGTTCCTGGGATCCCAAATCACCGCAGACTGTGACTGCAGCCATGAAATTAAAAGACGCCTGCTCCTTGGGAGGAAAGCGATGGCGAACCTAAACAGCATGATAAAAAGTAGAGACATCACCCTGCCAACAAAAGTCCGCATGGTCAAACAAATGGTATTCCCAGTAGTCGTGTATGGCTGCGAGAGTTGGACTATAAGGAAGGCCGAGCGCTTGAAGGTCAAAGAAGATGGGGACGGCAAAGGATGAGATGGTTAGACAGTGTCATAGATGCAACGAACATGAAATTGAGCAAACTTCAGAGGACGGCGGAAGACAGGAAGGCCTGGCGTGATCTGGTCCATGGGGTCGCGAAGAGTCGGACTCGACTGTGCGACTGAACAACAACAACAACATAGCTGTTAAAATGGCTGCAGGATAATACTTTATAAGATTAAGGAATGCCAAACCATTTCACTGTATACTGTGCCACATTATAGGAGCTCTATTTTGCAGTGCTTTATCATTTCAGATGGATTTATCACCAGCCCCCTGCAATTTATTTAAAAAGTTCCTAGGGATAACAAGAGGGTATGTTTATGAAAATAAATAATATTCTCAGAAGGATATTTATTTTAATCACGGCTGTCCTACCAAACCAAAGAGGTTTTAATGGAGCTCAACACTTCCAATCTAAATTCTGTTTGTTTCATCAAAGGACTTAAATTGTATGCTACCATCTAACTGCAGAACTGGAGACTAAATATTATGTCTCCTCAGTTTTCCGCTTTGAACAAGCTAGATCGTTTGTTTCCCTTGTTCAGTTACGTCAATAGTAGTCAACCTTTCAAGGCTCAGGACTCACCTGTAGCATCAAAGCAATAATAGCACAGGCCTCACCAAGCTGCAAGCATGTGACAGGAAGTCCTGTGACATCAGAGTAACATGTCAGGTGGAGGAGGACCTAGAACGATAGCATCATTAGTGGGGGATTGAAGCTCTGTGCTGAAAGTCATTGGTAGACTGGGAGGTATGGGTGGGGGAGGAGAAAGAGGTCAAAAGGAGGCTTTTCTGGGGAGGAGGGCTATCTCAGCCTGCCGGTGCATAAAAGAATCCTCTCCACCACTGAGTGACCTTGCTTCATTGCTTCCGAGCATACCTTTAGAAGCGGTAGGAGGTGTGGTGCCCTTGCTGTCTACATATGTACACCAAAAAGCAACCCAAATAATGGCATCTGTAGGTGGGTTTGCAACAAAGCTGGCAGGGTTCCATGACCCATCTGAGGGTCTCGATTAGGGTTGCCAACATCCAGGCAGGGTCTGGAGATCTAACAAGTGATCTCCAGATGACAGAGATCAGTTCTGATGGAGAAAATGGCTGCTTTGGAGGGTGCAGCTCTCTTGATTGTCCTTCTCGGGTCACTCTCTTCTCTGCCCTTGCACCCGGATGGCTTCTGTCGCCCGCTTTTCCTCCTTAGAAGACTCTTTCCTCCAGGCCCGTACCCAGGATTTTGTGGTTTGCGGGGCAAAAGTTTTTCTGGTGGGGCTGCCATTATTTTTATGTCAGCTCCAATATGCCCCCAAGCCCCATCACCAGCGGCCACCCCCGCCCTCCCCTCCTGAAAGATTTAAAGGGCCCTTCATCTGATCGGTGGGGAGCATGTGGCCCGCTGATCAGCTGGAGGGCCCTTTAGATCCTGCAGGAGGGAGGAAGAGAGGTGTGTGCCATCCCCCACTTCTTCTCAAAAGCATTTAAAGGATCCCTTTAAATGCTTTTGAGAAGAAGCAGAGGGCTGTGCGTGCAGGCCCCCCCATTCATCTCAAAAAAATCTTGTGGGGCTGGCCCTTTAAGAAAGGAGGCGGCGCCTCCAATAGCCCCATTGTAGCTATGGGCCAGCTTTCCTCAGAACTCTGTTCCCCCCTCAAGACTCTCTTTTCCCCTCAGGACTCTCCTTTGGTTCCCTCTCAGGAACAAAATACCTCTCTCCCCAAACTCCAATAGAGGGCCAAGCCCACAGTTGGTCATATTGCTCTTTCCTTTCCTGTTCTGGAAAGTGAGGGAGCTGCTCACGAGTTCTTCAGATCGCTCAGTCAGTGACCCCCGAGCCATCAGAAGTGTCAAGGACTCCATATCCATAAAACTCTTATGAATAGCTGGTGCCAAAGTCGTTATGGGTTCTGAGAGGGCTGGGTTTTGCCCTCCAGGTGAATGTCTGGAGATTATAGTTGTCCGCCCTGCCAGTGCAGAAATTAGCCAACCCTGCTCTTCACTGAATATTTTTGGCAGAGACTCAGGATATTAATGTAGCTGTCATTAGACCCTGAAAGGCTGAATGTTCAGGATCTGTTGTTGGGGAAAACATCATCACATTTGCTTTCCAGCTTAAAGAGCCTTAATTAAGATGACATTCCACGTCCCGTGATTATCCAAATTGTTGCCCGAGTTACCTTTGATGATATTTTCCCACCTGTCACTAAACTCTGAAATATGCCCGATACCCCGAGCTTGTAAGTGCTGATTTATTAATTGCAAGCCATATGGAAATGTGTCAGAGTAATATCCCCTTCGTTATTGACTACTTTGTGCGAAGTGGAACGCCTGCAGGTGGAAAGCCTGCATGGAACATCCTGGTACAAAGTGATGCCTTGAATACTTGAGAGCGTATCAGGCCTAACCAAATAACTGCTTTCAATGCTGTTTCCTTGTTCTCTGTCTTTCCAGTCTAACATTGTGAAACTGACCAAGCCGGTAGCACTGTGGACCCAGCTGGATGTGTGCAAGTGGCTGAAGAAACATTGCCCAAATCAGTATCAAATCTACAGTGAGTCATTCAAACAGCATGACATAACTGGTAAAGTATGCAATATCAGACATAGTTTTTGCTTTAGAATCTCTGTGTTTGAGCCCTCTTCCCCTTGCAGTCCTGTATCAACGGACAAGTTTGATAAAGTGCATATTGAATTATTTGTCAGTTTTGGAGCCGTGAGAGATCAGGAAGGAAGAAACAGGAAATGCAGCAAACATCATTTGGAGGGATCATTCCTGGGAAGTGTACAGCAAGAGAGTCTTACTGCAATTAAAGGATCGCGGTTTTATTTGTTTTGTTGTTTTTAATAATGCAGGCCTACCGTGAAGATCTGCCTAAAAGGAAGCATATAGACAAAAGAAATCAGTGAATTCTGAACTAATGGGACTGTGGCTCTGAGAAATTAAGAAGCCAGTGGTAAAACACAAAAGCAGAATGTCCTGGGTTCATTCTCCAGTATCTTTAGTTAAATTGGTTGGTCACTGTTTGAGACAGGATGCTGGACTACATGGACCGCTGGTCAGGTCCAGTAGGGATCTTCTTAGGATTTGGGGTACCAAAAGGTGAGGAAGGCCTGTTTGTTCCTGAGACTTTGGATAGCCACTTCCAGGCAACATAGACAATACTGAATTAGATAGACCCTTGGTCTGTATAAGGGAGCTCCTGTATGTTCATACAACCATGCCAGAGGGCAGGAGCAGCACAGAACGTAATGGGACTCCACTGTTCCCTTCCATTCTACAGAACCGTCTGGTGTTACTTTCTGCACCATTTATATTCAGCTGATAAGTCACTGCACCTTTTGGGCACCAGCTTTATTGTCATTTTGTTGTATGTACTACTTTGTGGGGAAAGAGGCGGAGAGCGGAAAACCAGAAAAACAGTTGGGGGGGGGGGGAGAGATGCAAAATATCTCTTGCATACTCCGTTGGTTGGGTTGGATCCAGAATGGATTTTCCATGAGTGGAATGGAACTTTCCTGCCTTCCCCCTTCCCATTGCAGGCAGCCCATTGATCTCCAACCAGTGCTGCTTCTGAGGGACAGGGGACCCTGAGTGATGACATGAGGGTCGGTCTGCAGCCAAAACAGGCTGATCTCGTCAGATCTCGGAAGCTAAGCAGGGTCGGCGCTGGTCAGTATTTGGATGGGAGACCACCAAGGAGTACCAGGGTCATGATGCAGAGATAGGCAGAGGCAAACCACCTCTGCATATCTCTTGCCTGGCTATTGGTCAGTCTTGCTCAGTATTGCCTGCTCTGACTGCTTTCCAGGGTATCCAGCGAAGGGAGTCTCTCCCGGTGCCCGATGTCTGGTTTTCTTTTCAGTTACTAGCAAAAAGATTGAAATTACAGTATCTAATAGATTGCAACTTAAGAGAAATCCAAAACAACAAACAGGATTCACTGAACGTCAAGCATGTAGCAAAGAGCTAAAATAAATAATATCCGTATTGCAAACGAGTGTTCATAAAGTTAATGAAGGGATATCAAATCTATTGAAAAGCTTCAACGTGTTCTCTATGACTGCTGGAATGAAATTGGGTTGTGTGGGAGGCTACTCTTAGAACAGAAAGCCCCGAAAAGTCACACTGCTGCTAAAAGAACAGTCTTACAGATCTCGGAATCCTGACCTGATGCTGGGAATTCTCGCAACCTCACAGTTGCAAAGATGACAGTATATCGGGTCTTCTTGCTGTCTGGGATTTAATAAATTATTTTAAACAGGTTATAAGATGGATTCTTCACCTACAGCTTATTTTTAAAAAATCCCTTCTGCTGGATAAGTATTTAATATCAGAGCTTCTAATTGTGCAGACTAACAAATGCAAAACCAAACATCTCAACAGAGATCTCATGTAAATGCGTAACAGTGGACTTAAATAAAGTTCTACATGTGTGTTGTTCATGCTGAATGCAAATTTTAAATGGTTGGGTGTTTGCTGGTGCCCAAGGTAGCTTGAGCCAAGTGAGAGAATCCACACTCACATGCACCGGAAAGTTTGAGGAGAGGGGCTTTCTGATTTTGGTCAGAATGTGTAGGAAGTACAGAAGCAGGAGGAGACAGCCTCATACTGCTTCTAATTGAAAGGGGGCAGGAGTGAAGTGACAGATCACTTGGAGATGGACCATTGCTCAATGGTAGAACATCTGCATAAGAACATAAAAGAAGCCAATGTTGGATCGAGCCAATGGCCCACCCAGTCCAACACTCTGTCACACAGTGGCCAAAAATACCAGGTGCCATCAGGAGGTCCAGCAGTGGGGCCAGGACACTAGAAGCCCTCACACTGTTGCCCCCGCCCAAGCACCAAGAATACAGAGCATCACTGGCCCCAGACCAAGAGTTCCTATCTATTTGTTGTTGTTGTTCAGTCGCACAGTCGAGTCCGACTCTTCGCGACCCCATGGACGAGCTCTCTCCAGGCCTTCCGGTCTTCTGCCGTCCTCTGAAGTTGGCTCAACTTCATGTTCGTTGCATCGATGACACTGTCTAACCATCTCATCCTTTGCCGTCCCCGTCTTCTTTGACCTTCAATCTTTCCAAGCATCAGGGTCTTCTCCAGTGAGTGCTCCCTTCTCATTTGGTGGCCAAAGTATTTGAGCTTCAGTTTCATTATCTGGCCTTCCAGGGGCCTATCTATACCTTGTGGGTAATAGCCAGGGCTCTAGTCGGGGGGGAGCTCTCAGGTACGGAGCTCCGGAAGAGAACCTCTAGGGGGCGGGGCGGTCACGTGGTGAAGCCCCGCCCCCTTCTTTACCCCGCCCTCTGCTTCGATCCTCATTCCGTTTGGGAATGAGGATGAAGCAGGAGGGTAAGTAGCCGGGCCTTCTGACACACTTCCGGTGATGTCAGGGGGTGTGGCCTTCTGTCACTTCCGGTGATGTCAGGGGGCGTGGCATATGCAAATAAGTTATGCTAATGAGTTATGCTAATGAGCTCCGGTAGCTCTTTTTCTACAACAAGACCCCTGGTAATAGCCACTGATGGACCTTTGCTCCATATGCAGAAGGCTCCAGGTTTTTGTTTTACTGGAGATGCCAGATGGACCCTGTGTATGCCAAACAGCTACTCTACCACTGAACCATAGCCCCTCCCTATAATATGGATCACTGGAAGCCACTTCAAAGAATTAACCTGCATGGTGACCCAAATACTCCTAGTTAAGGGATAACTAGCAGCTCCTTTCTGGGCAGCTACATTACCGGGTACGCACAGTTGTTACATATACACCAGCATTCCTGTTGAGTGTGAACAAGAGGCACCTGGCTTTAAAAAAGCTGTGCACGCACACTTCCAGGATCCTGGCCTAATTAGGCATGCGGCAGTGTACAAATTGCAGATCAAATGCCCAAATGTAGAACTTTCTTTATCAACCAGTCTTCTTCTGGGAGGTGAGCCAGTTCACATATTCAGCAGCAAGCCATCAACCATTGAGTATGTATGAACGGACTACTCCAATTTTATTAGCAGAAAGAGAAATGAAGGTTGCTTTTGCTGGCCTTCCCTTTGGTGATGCTCTAGAGACATGTAATAATTTTCGGTTCCTCAAGGGGGAGCTTGCACACAAATTTACTGAACTAATTTTTTAAAAAATTGTGTGTGTTGTGCACGCATTGTGTTTTTTGTTTGGGTCACTCTGTAATGAGATCCTGCCTTAGAGAATGAATTGCAATTATTCAGAGAGCTGTAATTTAATACTGCAGATGTGTTTTATCCCCATACATGTCAAAATGTTTGAGTTCCAAGAGACAGGGCTTGTTGTTCTGGCCATCGCAGCTATATTTGTGTAGATTTCTCTCCCCCCTGCCTCCTTTTGTTTTAAACCATGTTTAAAAGCATTATTGTCTAGTCTGAAGTTTCTCTGGGTGGAGAAACTAGCTTCTTTCTCATCTTTGTGTGTGTGTGTGTGTGTGTGTGTGTGTGTGTGTGTGTGAGAGAGAGAGAGAGAGAGAGAGAGAGAGAGAGAGAGAGAGAGAGAGTATGTGTGAGAGTTTTCCCTTATTAAACAAAATTTCAAATACTAACAGAGGGGGGAAAGATTATCCTCATAACAACCAGAAATGGAAGCTTCCTCCTACCTTTTGTTAGGACCAACTTAAAATGACACATATCCGTGTGCAGGCTTTTGAGTTCCCTAGACCTTTTCATCAGGCTGTATGTTTAAGGTAGGAAAGGCAGATGGGTGGGAGGAGAAAAAAGATGCCTCAGACTGTGACCTCAAGACCTCCTCTTCTCAGAATTCTCTATAAGATGCAGGTATGCAGATTTTAAGGGCCACGGTGGCTCAGAGGTTAAGATGCTGAGCTGCAGACTGAAAGGTCTGTAGTTCAGCAGTTCGATACCCTACTGCCGCATGACGCAGTGAGCTCCCATCTCTGGCCCCAGCTCCTGCCAACCCAGCAGTTCGAAAGCAAGAAACTGCAAGTAGATAAATAGGTACCGCTTCGGTGGGAAGGTAACAGCATTCTGTGCGCCTTGACTATTATCCAGTAAGAGAATCACTCTATAATACTCATATCACACCAAAGAATCTATTTAAATATGTAACAGAGGACTACATCCAAATCAGGGTATCACAACTCAATTGTGTAGCAATCAAGATCCAAAAATCAATCCAATCAAGAGCCAAAAATTAATCAATCCAAAATCAATTCAATCTTTAATCTGGATGTATGAAGACCAGTGAAGACGAGGCAAAGACTCTGGATTATCCTATGCTTCGTTTTGTGTCAACTTCTTCAAATCACGGACGCTAAGTGTAGTTACAATAGGCAGCCTCACTGCAAGTAGTATTATTCTTACAGTGTGCCTTTCTGCAGTTCTTATAATGACTTACAATGCTCCTAATCTCTCACTTCCTATGGAACTAATCCTTGAATTATAATAGTTGGCTGAGCATCGGAAGGAAGGAAGGAAGGAAGGAAGGAAGGAAAGAAAGAAAGAGAGCCAGTTTGGTGTAGTGGTTAAGTGTGCAGACTCTAATCTGGGAGAATTGGGTTTGATCCCCCACTCCTCCACTCGCAGTTGCTGGATGACCTCGGGC